TTTTTTGTTAACCACTTACCCAATTTCTGTTCAGTTTTCTTTTTTTTATTTCGCCTTCAATTTTTCCTTTTTTCGTTTTCTCTGTTTTTTTTTTCCGCCTTCAAATTATACCCCAACTAAAGAACCATCACCAAATCTACCGCGTGATGATCCCAATCACCTCACACCGAGTGACTTGGCATGATAATCACCAATCCTTTTTTTTTTTTTTTTTTTTTTAAGGACAAGACTCCAATCTATTCGTGGGGAGCAGCACGTGCTGGGACCCGGGCCCAGCGTCCCATATGGAAATTTACATAGAATTTTGCAAGTTCGAGATACCGGGGCCATTACCCGGCTTTGGCTAAGAAAATTTTGAACGACTTAAGACAATTAGATAACCGCCAATCCAACACCACCCCAAGTTCATTTCCGCAATCTGTACTTTCTCAAATTGTTTTTTCTTAAGCACTAAAAAGACCTGAGCTAAAACACAGCATTACGTCCCGGACTACCTCTCCCCCGTGTACTCATTCTCTAACTCTAAATGCCCCTTCACTTTCCCAAGGGGCTCCACGCAATTGCGTCATCGATGTCACACTCGCATCTGCGCGGCGGCGCCTAAGTCATGGAGAAGGCCAGAGCTGTGATCGTCTCTCTCCTTCGCCCCACAACTTGTCAAGCACACGCCTGATAATTCCCAACCACTAAGTCCAAAAAAAACAATAACTTGCCAAGCAAACGCCTGATAAGTCCCAACCACTAAGTCCAAAAAAAACAATCTGTCTGGAACAAGGCCTAACCACTAATTCCAAAAAAACAATCTGTCTGGAACAAGGCCTATTACACGACCCAGTCGGCCCGAGTTTCAGTAACCTCACCCGAATGTATGATCCGCCTAAACCCCCTTCTTCTCATCTTCCTATCTTTTTTTTTTTTTTTTTTTTTTTTAACAGGTCCCTATGGCCCTGGCTCCGTTCCATTCTGGGGAGCAGCAGTCCGGTTCCTATTCCACCGGCATGTCAGGACAAAATATTACTTCATTAAACACACTCAACGCTTCCTTCCGTCTGGCCGAAGGAACCCTGACCAGCATTGATTGCTCCAGCAACCTGTGACCAGCATTGATTGCTCCAGCAACCTGTGACCAGCATTGATTGCTCCAGCAACCTGGAGGATTGACTGTCAGCTTGCCTTACTTCCGCCTTCCCTCTCAGCTCCAGCCTCTATCAAAAAACGGGATTTGAGAATGGTTAACCATTGCCACAAAGTCACCCTCTCCCACTGAATGAACATACTGTAATAAAGTATATTACTACCACCTAGCATTGCCTGGCCTCGATCTCCTCGAATACTGTAATCAATCAATCGACCAATCAATCAACCAATCAATCAACCAATCAACCAACCAATCATTCAACCAATCATTCAACCAATCAATCAACCAATCAATCAACCGAAAATTAATCTATCGATCGAAAGCAATCAATCAGTCAATCAATCAATCAATCAATTCCCACCTGTGCTGACAGCACTCCTGTGACCTCAATATCTGGAGTACAATGCACCGGCGAGCGCACGGACGATCCAAAAACCCGAGTCCCTTAGGGGGGGTACTCACATTACCCTCTCTTTCCGAATAAAACGCACATTACAGAGCTGTATTTGGGGCAACTTTCAGTCTCGATACAATGATAATGACCGAGCGTTGTCTACGGGGGAAGACGGTACAACTTATTCCGCTCCCCATACTTGTCGTCAGGCAAATCTCCGGAAAGTCCTACTAACGATTGATTGTATCTATGCATACTTGTGGTCCCCACAACCTACACGCAGACGGTAGGTGTCAAAGTCATCATTCCCATTACGTATTATTTGCGGACCATGGAACTATTATTTTTCAAAGTCTCTCTCTCTCTCTCTCGATCTGTTGAGGGGTCGTCGGTTGGTCTCATATGGTGCGACAGTGAGAAATCTGACAGACTACTAGTAATTACATACATATACACATCAAGCTAGATGACACAGAACAAGTTTGGTGACAACTCTTTTTCTTGACTTAGTTCTGGGTCATCTGAAACAAATCTGTCCGGCACATTTCCAAATCTCATTGCGCATTTCCAAATCTGACCATCTCGGCACATTACTCACCAAACTTGTGAAATGACGGGTTAATCTACAGCTAAACAATGGAAAGATACACCGGCCATGTTTTAATCTACGGCTAGAAAATGGAAAGATACACCGGCCATGTTTTAATCTACGGCTAGAAAATGGATCTNGCTAGACAATGGAAAGATACACCGGCCATGTTTTAATCTACGGCTAGAAAATGGATCTACAGCTAGAAAATGGAAAGATACACCGGCCATGTTTTTTCACCTTTTGCACATTCGACGAGTCATTGCACATTCCGTGAGCGGTGCGGCGACGCCCCTCACCTTTACAGTTGGCAAGCATCCTTCATTTCAGTTTCACATCAAGATTTCATAGATTTAAGAGAAGGAGAGAAAGAGAGAGAGAGAGAGAGAGAGAGAGAGAGAGAGAGAGAAAGAGAAGCAAAAGAGGGAAAGAGAGAGAAAGAGAGGAGGGAAGCAAAAGAGGGAAAGAGAGAAGAAGAGGAGGGAGGGAAGATTCGACAGAAGGAAGAGGAAGGCTAAAGATTGACAAAGAGAAAAGGTAAACGAGACATCTTTCCGGATGGTTGAGCCAGAGACAAAGAAGGCAGAAAGAGGTAAGAAGTTGGAAAGACGTGAATATGAAGGTATCATATTTGCAGATTATGATATCATATCATAAATGTTGATAATAGGCAGATAGATATTATATCATAATCTGCAAATATGATACCTTCCGGTTTAACAAGGGCTGGCATGAAGAATGGCAGACACAACCGGAAGTCGAGAATAGGCAGATAGATGCAGAAGCAAAAAAAAATAAAGTATACGTAGTAGACGACTGCCGCAGAGATTTCTGGACTACCGTCTTCAGCCGAACAGATGATCGATGCACCTAGACTGAAAGTTGGCCCCCCAAGTACACCTGCGATTACCGGGCGTTCTATTCGAGTGGACATAGTGGCAGATAGAGATAGGTAGATGGAAAGACGCACACACGTAGATAGAGATAGAAATTATCAGAAAACAAAAGAATAATCACTAGATATAAAGAAGAAAAAGAAAAAGAAAAAGAAGAAGAAGAAGAACTTCACTAGATATAGAGAAGAAGTACAAGGGCTGGCGTGAGCGATGATAGACAGAACGCGAGATCGAGAATGGGCAGATAAACGGAGAAGCAAATCGGAAGGTGATTTCAGAGATTATTTCCACATGGACAAAAAGAAAGAAATGCAGATTCATAGGCGATGAGAAGATGCCGGCGGACCATGCAGACAGCGAGATACACAAACAACAGGCAGACAAACGAGGGCCGGCCATAAAGGAAGAGAAATGCTTCTAAATGTGAATTCACTGCTATCTCAGACTGAAAATCAAACAAATGAGAGGGTTTGAAGATGAGGGAGAATACATTCATAATTACGTGCACCGAATGGACAGAGGAAGACTTCAGGTCTTTCTTCTGATGCTTGAATGTGAATTCACTGTTATCAGCAGCTCTCACCTGCATTTTTGATTTTCCCGCCTGACTCACGCCCCGAGGAAGACTTCAGGTCTTTCTTCTTCTGATGCTTGAATGAAGACGACCGCTCCCCCCGTCGGCTGTTACTACTGCTCCTTGGGGTAAAACAGGCAAAACAGCCCATGTGGGCCATGCATGTAGATTGGATTTTCCAGACTTACAAGTGATACCACAGCTTCTCCCTCCCCCTCCCACACGTCACGGGATCCCGATCCCTTCCTACGTCTGCGTCCAAGACACAGCCCCAGTACCCCGGAGGCGAATCCCAACAGCAATTACACCAATAAGGCACTACTGCGTCCCTTCTCTCCTACCCCTCCTCTTCTTCTCCACTGTGACCTTCTCCTCCTCCTCCTGCTCCTTCTCCTCCTCCTCCTCCTCTTCTTCGCTTTTTCCTCCTCCTCGGATCAAGCCTCTATCTTCTCTTACCCGCCCCTCGCTTGTCGACAGTCGAATTCAGTGATCTACTACCCCCTGAACAGGCTGTCAAATGAGACAGACTGCTAAGAACGCATCCGAAAGAGAAGACCGGTGAAGGTAAGCGATATTGCCATCTGGTCTGCTGCCGATGATCGGCCCAGTCGCCGGCAAGCAGGCGTCATTATGACAGCCCTACGTGGCATTCCCCTGTCCGATTCCCTCCCAGAACATTTCCTCACTAATCAACCAATCAACCAATCAACCAAACAATCAGACAGCAGCAGATGTACCAACTCCTCCTTTCTACTGGACAGCGCAGCATGCGGGAAGAGCTCATTCTTGCTTTCAACAGATCCGACCGACCGCACAACTAATCAATCAACAGGTTCAGATGAACAACCATCAAGTAATCAACGCGACGAGATAGGGCCTCCAATTCCAATCGCCTGCTAGACACCGATAGAAAAGTAATGCACAACCAATTAACCAATGATGACGTACTTTATCAACTTGTCCGATTGATCATAACGTCTGTTTTGTGGGTTCGTTTAGGATTATTGCAAAGCCACAAGGTTCTCATGACTTGCCACAATACGTCTCCCATGACCTCCAACGACCGAATCACATTACTACCACCCCGATTCTTCGGAGTACATCTCCTCCTCCTCCTCCTCCTCCTCCTCCTCCTCTTCCTTCTCCACCGCCTCGACTTCCTCCTCCACCTAATCCACCATTCAATAGAATCGGGATTTATTAGCTTCGTTGGGCGACCCGGGGAAAGACCACAGCCATCCCACTTCTGCACCGGCGAGCTGACCAGGCAACTTCCACATCCGAAGAAGTGGACTGGCACCCCCCTCTCCGGGGCTAGGTCCCACTTGCACGAATTAAGAGATACTGACCGTAGATAGCAAAGATCAACGGCCGACTCTCCTAATTTGCGCAAGTGGGACCTTGCCCCCGCTTGCGCTCCCGTGCACCACCGCCAGTCCGCGAGATCCGCGGATTTCTTGGACCTATCGTGCCTCCTGACATGATCCCAAACACGCTTTTCGCGAGCGCGACAATGATCAGTCACCGCGCTACTGACGGCGGTGAACCGATGAGCTACCAAGCTACCAAACCGTCAACACGCCCGTCGGGCGCGGCGGTCACGATGGCGTTTGTGGTGTGGTGCAAGTGCGCGCGCGCCCAGTGCAAAGCAAACCAAAAACTGAAACACTACATTGTGTCTCCCCTCCTCCCGCGGCGCGCGCGCGCGGAGGAGCCCAAGTGCAGGGTAGAGCGAGAGACCGCGAGCGGGGTATTGTGCAGTACACTCTGGAGACGAGGCAAAACACCCGCACACACGCAACCTGGCGCCAAGCTGGAGCAGCGAAGCTCCGAGACTCCAAAGCTCCAAAGCACAAACGGTAGGACTCAGAAATAGCGTGTCCCATTTTTGTTTCCCTGTTGGGCCCAAGGTGCGAAAAAACGGCCTTCTTGGCGGGTTAGGGGGGTAAAGGGGAGAGGGAGACGAAAAGTGGCATGGACAGACCGCCCAAACACCAAGAAAAGATTGACTTACCGTGAGGGCATGGGTGCGCAGCCCGTAGTTCGTTTGTTTATGCGGTTCGGGAAGGGTAAGGTAGTGATTATGCTGTATGTATGTTTTGTCATGTTGGCTATACACAACTCGAAGAGTGTGTGTGTGTGGGGTGCCGGTTGGTGCTTTACTCACGATGTTCATGGGACGCTGGACCCAGTTTCCAGCAGGTGGCGCTCCCCATCAATAGACAGGAGAATGTATGTGCGTGTGTGTGTGTGTGTGTGTGTGTGTGTGTGTGTGTGTGTGTGT